AAAAATTAAACTTACCATTTGACGTCTTCTTTTTTCTAAATTCCTAATTTTTCAGCCCCAAAAAAGGCCAAATAAAAAGCCATTATACCCGTCGAACTTAAAATAAAATAAAAAACCAGAGCGCAAAAAAGAAATCCTGACGAAAAAGAAAAAACCTGACGCTAAAAAAATTAATCCATCTTAACCCATGGAGGGCTCCGCGCAGACTGAGCTCTGCAGGGCGGGGGAAGGCTTACAAAGCCTTCCCCCGCCCTGCAATTAGGCTAAGAACACTCTGATTGGTTGGTTTAAGCCAATCAGAGTGCTCTTTGTCATTTTACTCTTATTGTTTTTTAGGGCCCCCACCACCGCTCAGGGGTGGTGGGGGTGGGCGGGACCACAGGCTGCTCACTGTTTAGTGGCTATAAAAGCAAATGGGTGATTAACCCTTACTACTCCACTTGTTTTCAGCCTGTTTCCTGTACTAATTAGGTTTTAGTGCCTGATTGTCTTATTAGATAGTGTGGCTCCAGTTAACATTCCTAAGCCTAGGATTAAGGAGGAGAGGAGGCCCACTATGCAGAGGAGAAGATGTAGAGGAACGGAGTCCCTGCGTAGGACCCTGCATAACTTCCATATTGAGGCAACCTTTGAGGTCAGTAGGTGTAGGACCTAACCGAGGAACTGAACTGTCTGGGACTGGACGAGCGCTGACTTTTATCTGTTCACCACAAAGCCCAAAGATTCCAGAAAGTTAACAACAAATTGCATCTGGGAGCACAGTCTGGACACTGCGTTGCAGAAAATCAGCAAATCGTCGGGATATATAAGGCAACTGATACCTTTTTTTTTTGAGGAGGGGCCATGACCGGCTTCAGAAGCTTCATGAAACATCTTGGTGCTGAGCTGAGCCAAAAGTGCGCGAATTGTGCCAGATGATCAGGTAGGGACCACTCAGGTGACCTAGGGTGTCTGGTGGTGCATGGCTCAAACTCCCTCTTCTGTGCGCTTCATTCCCCAATACCGTTTCCTTCACGGTATGTCTCCCTGCATAAAAAAACTAAAATGTAGGTGCGCAAACAATTATAAATAAAGTGTCAGTGCATAAAAAGTGACAAAGTGTCAGGATATCCCAGAGATATACAAAATAGAAATCTATATGTGGGATAACAATATTTGTAAAACCATACTGTGAAAAAACACAAGCTTATTTGTAGCAAAGCAGGTGTTTTCTCACAGATATCTGAGGGCTCACCCCAGGTGGTGTGCCTTGTACAACAAATGACACCCACAAATGGCAACTTATAATTTGGCACAGTGACCTGTATGATACTTTAAGTCAGTACAGTGTAAGCAGGTCTATATCGTCAGTAACCGGTATGTCACAGAAGTTGGAGGCACTTCAAACAATAAATAACTTTTCCTTATATGCACTTACCTTGTATGAGTGAAATAGTACTTGCAGAGGCTTCCAGGACAAGTTGTGCAGCAGATAAGTAATCACAATGTCCAGATCGCGGTAATACCGATCTGGAACGAAAACCAAGATAGAAGATAGATAGAAAAACAGGCAGCCACACAGCTCTGTGGTAGGAGAGGCAGGTGAGAGGGGAAAGTTAGAATTTTAAGATAAACAGTCACAAGAAGGGGATGAGGAGGAGGGAGGGCAATGAATAAAAGCAAATGACTTCTAATAAAGTTTAGTGATAAAAACCAAAACAATCTAATGCATTTCAATCACGAAACATGTAAGAGAATCAATAGGGTAAAATAGTCTGACCTGTGCAGTAGGAGCAGCAAAGAAAGAGGTCGTGCTCAGGCTGGCAGGGCCTTTCATGGATTGGATTCTTGTTTCTGATTGGTTGTTTCTGTTATGACCTGTGCTGCTAGATTTTACAGTAAAGAGAGGTATACAAAATATGAAGCCTCCTGTCATGTGGTAAAATTAAGTTCATCATGTAAACATTTGATCTCTTTATGACACAAGTACATGGTGGTGGATACCTGGAGCATCAAAAATCCTTCCTCTAGGGAATTTACTTTTATTCCTCTCAACATTTCAGCTACTCCAGACTGAATTATTTTGTAGTTGACAAGATCACTCACAGAACAATATGCAATGTATCATAGGCGATCACTCGTGGTTGGACCTTTACTCCCATAATTTAATCCATATGGTTTTTTTTAGGAAGAAAGAAGTGTGGCACCTTAATGAATACCTTTTGTTGGATGCACAGGCAAGGGAAGAAGCAAAAAAGTAGGGATAGGTTAATTTACCATTAACACTTGTCCAGCGATAGCTCCCACAGCTACATGGTAAGCTAATTCATAGTTACATAGTTACATAGTTACATAGCTGAAAAGAGACTTGCGTCCATCAAGTTCAGCCTACCTCACATTTGTTTTTTGCTGTTGATCCAAAAGAAGGCAAAAAAAAAACAGTTTGAATCACAATTTTGCAACAAACTAGGAAAAAAATTCCTTCTTGACCCCAGAATGGCAGTCAGATTTATCCTTGGATCAAGCAGTTATTACCCTACATTGAAAGATTATATCCTTGAATATTCTGTTCTTGCAAGTATGCATCTAGTAGCCGTTTGAACATCTGTATGGACTCTGATAAAACCACTTCCTCAGGCAGAGAATTCCACATCCTGATTGTTCTTACAGTAAAAAAACCTTTCCTTTGCCTTAGACGAAATCTTCTTTCTTCCAGTCTAAACTCATGGCCTCGTGTCCTATGTAAAGTCCGGTTTGTGAATAGATTTCCACAAACCTATTGGCCACGAATATATTTGTATAATGTTATCATATCCCCTCTCAGGCGACGTTTTTCTAAACTAAATAGGTTTAAATTTATAATTTAGGCTCCTTGCATTAGTAAGCATACATTTAATATTATGCATCACTTGTATATTTTGTGAATTTTCAACATTACACAGCTTCTCTGTTCTGAGCTTGCCCCTCCCCCCATTTCCACCCCCCTTATACTGTGCTAAAGCCCATCTCCTTTCTGTCCTATCTCCATTTTGTAGATTGCTATGACCCTCCCCCCCTACTACTAGTTTAAAATCTCCTCCAACCTTCTAGCCATCCTATCCCCCAGCACTGCAGACCCTCTCCCGTTTAGGTGCAATCCATCACCACTATAAAGGTTGTACCCAATCGCAAAGTCGGCCCAGTGCTCTAAAAACCCCAAACCCTCCTTCCTGCACCAAGACTTAAGCCACGCATTGACCTCTCTAATCTCCCGCTGCCTTTCCACTGTAGCGCGTGGCACAGGTAATATCTCAGAGAATACCACCTTGGAGGTCCTTTTCTTAAGTTTGCTACCTAATTCCCTGAAATCATTCTTTAGGACCTTCCATCTTCCTCTTACTTTGTCATTGGTACCAACATGGACCATGACCGCTGGGTCATCCCCAGCCCCTCCCAATAATCCATCCACTCTGTCAGCAACATGCCGGACCCGAGCACCCGGGAGACAGCAAACTGTCCGGTTGAGCCGATCAGAGCGGCAGATTGCCCTATCTGCTCTCCTAATGATAGAGTCCCCTACCACCACAACCTGTCTTGCCTTCCTTACATTTTGATCCCCACCCGTACTAGAGGGGCTGTTAGCTCGGCTGTTAGAAGTAACAGCTTCCTCTAATACAGCTTCTCCTGAGCTGATGCTCCCAACATCTTCCCTCAAATGGGCAAATCTGCTATGTTGCTAAATTCAATTAGCAACTGTAACGGAGCTCCCTATACCCCTGGTTGGGTACCTCTGCCAAGGACCACTTCCTAGCTGGAACCGGGGACCAACCGCAGCACTTCTGCCCACAGTCGCCGTGGCTTGACTGGGGCCCTGGAACCGCTCCTTCCTGGAGCCGAATGGGGAATTAGCTCTAGTCCTTACAAGGACTTTCCCAATTGAATCCCCTGCAAGCTGGAACAGCAGACACAGGAGTAAATCGTCTTTCCCTCCAATAACAGGACGACACACAGTTTTGGAGTGTAAGGTGGAATACCAGTTTAATGTAGGCACACTGCGTTTTATACAAGTTTCCCAACAAAGTTGACATCCCAGGTGGACCTTGTTGGGCACAGGACACAAAGTATACAAGCCAATCAAAACAATGTAACAGTAAACAATATTCCCACATACAGCACACAATCCCTCTGCCTGTGATACAATTAAGGTAGATAATACAATAACTTAATTATCCCTAGACAGAAAAAACATATTTTTATAAAGTCCAATAAGTACCCCAAAATACAACATATCCCCATAACACATAACACATCCACTGATAGCCCTGATCTGGGTGAACAACATATCCAAAAATCACCCAGATCAGAGCAGGGGTTCAGGAAATTCCTGGGAGTCTCTTTTTGACTGCCCGCACGCATGGTTTCCTGCCCAAAACAGTCCCAGAGAATCAGGGCTTGCAGTCGGTCTAGTTGGGTAGTTTGCAAACAAACAAACTACCGAATGGAGTCAATAGTCTTACCCTGGAGCTTGTTCCCTTCATCTAGACAAATGATCTCACCGAACAGTGCCCTTCTAAGCTGAATAGAAATGAACACAGGCGATGATGGAAGTTCAGCAGTGTTTGGGAGTTTCTGTATCCAATTTCAGTTCCATGAGATTCATGCCCAAACACCGCTGCCTGGGGGCGGGGCTTACCAAGCAACCTGACCAGATGCCATTTCTTTAAGCTCCCTAAAACAAAATATAATCCTGCAGATATCAGCAGAACCGAACCCGATCCAAACACCACACCAGCACGACCGGTACCAGAAGGGCAGGGAGCATCGATCGATGCCTTTCTTTCAACCACTGAAGACAGCACGACGGAAATACTGGGGCCTATCACATGCTGCAAGACCTTGAGAGTTTCCTAGGAGGCATCGCAACCACCAGTGCTACAACACCCCACACCCTAGCTCCATCTGCCCTGCCAACCAACATCCTGGGCATGGGCAGGCACTCCCAAAAACCGCACACCCCAGCGGAGGGCACAGACATAGGAGCCATGCTCCAGCGGCCGGCTCAATCTAAGCCTGCTACCGCTAATGGACACCCAGACACGGAGCAGGGTCCGACGCTGCAACAACACGAGCCCAAGAGCCCGCAATACTCACCAACACCTACGGTCGAAGCTCCAGAATCAGCCGACGACACTGCACCGACCAACAAGAAGGACTTAAAACTAATGCTTGCCGAAATCCATAAAATGCTGGCGGACGATTCGGCCATTCTTAAAACAGAAGTAAGGGCAGTGTCGGAGAGGGTCAGAACTAATGAAACAGCCTTAACGGACGTACAGTCCTAGCTCAACACGATGGCGGACTCTATAAAAACGCTACAAACGCCGCAACAATCTATGACACTCAAGCTTTCTAATATGGAAGATCGCCAGAGGCGTATCCACATCAAAATCAGGGGTATCCCTGCAACGATTACGGCGGAGGAATTACTCCATTACATCAGGAGAATGCTGGCCACAATCCTGTCACACACAGTGGCCAAGAAGATGGCAATAGACATCCCGAACCCTGCTCATCTCCGGACCAACACGGGGAGAGACGTCATGCTCCGCTGCATCTCCCTACCTGACAAGATGCAAATATTGTTAGCGCTGAAAGGCAAAATGCCGTTCACCTTCAAAAACTCGACCCTGGCCTTCTTCCAAGATTTGACAAGGTCCACACTATTGCACTGCAAATCGTACACTCCGGTCACGTCACTGTTGCGAGCTGCGGGACTGAGCTACCGCTGGGGGTGGAATGGCTCACTAGCGGTGACTCAAGATGGGACAGTACATACTTTGCATGCTTTGCAGTCCATGTCAGAATCGGCATCCTTCCTGGAGACCCTGGAACTATCGCCACAAGACACACCGGCCGCCTCGTGAATGCAGAGGGCAAGATGGGACCCGGCCTCCATAACACCATTCGTCCCTAGAACAGCGAACCAGCAGGAGACGGACAACCCAAAATGAAAAACACAGATGGGACTTTTACTACAGCACCTCAACAAATGTCCTTATTTGTTTAACTCCACACGCAACATACGCTTACCTACCTGGGCTCCATAAGGTCCAGGCTTCACACAAACACGCCGACTAGACGGCGGACACAAAGACCACAGTAAGTGGCAAGCCCCCCTCCCCCTGCAACCCCTTTGGTCAGGGGCCATAAATCCGCATGCATAGGTTAACGCAATATACATACTGGGCTCATGAGCCAAATCCTCGCCCACCATGCAAATGCCCTCCTAGCTCGATGTAAGCGCGATACACGCTTGCCTCCACTAAAACCACACACCCGGGAGAGAGCCGATCGGGTGAACTAACCAAAGTACTCCTCGGCACTTCGCTCCTAACTGTACACTCCACTCCCCTGAGGCACTTACGCTTAAACACTCTCACTACCAGGTGTCTGTATAGGAATTTAAACGCCAATACTACTGCGGTGAGAAACGTTCCAAGTTGTTAATAGGTTTTAACAAGCTCCAGGGTGGTCTCTGTTCGTGCGGTTGTTTGGTAAACGAACCATATAGTCCCAATTGCAGAGCCTGTTTAAAGTCTATTATTCAGTTCTATTGCAGGGGCAATAGTCACAGGGTGAAAGGCTGGCAAGTAGTCCCCTCCAAGAACTCGTGGCAAACTCACTTGAAAAGAGGAGTTTGTCACAGCAACTTTAAGATGTAAGCTTAGAGAACAAAGACTCACTTACCTAGAACAGGAATTAGCTACTATAGATGAGGCAAAGTTGACACAATTGACTGCCTATACCATCACTCAGCTTAAAGGATCACTATAGTGCCAGGAAAACATACTCATTTTCCTGGCACTATAGTGCCCTGAGGGTGCCCCCACCCTCAGGGTCTCCCTCCTGCCTGGCTCTGGGGAGAGGAAAGGGGTAAAACTCACCTTTTTTCCAGCGCCGGGCAATGAGACAACCACTAGAGGATTTGGAGGATGGATTAACCCATTTATAAACATAGCAGTTTCTCAGAAACTGCTATGTTTATTAAAAAATGGGTTAACCTTAGAGGGACCTGGTACTCAGACCACTTCATTAAGCTGAAGTGGTCTGGGTGCCTAGAGTGGTCCTTTAACCCCTTAAGGACACATGACGTGTGACATGTCATGATTCCCTTTTATTCCAGAAGTTTGGTCCTTAAGGGGTTAAACAAGCAACACAAATAATACAACTATACAAAACAGAACAACTCTGTAGACTGAAAAAAATATTCTATGCTTACTATAACAAGCAAGGGAGAATGTCGGCATGGAAACAGAGACAAAACTGCAGCTGCTCTTATGCTTTATTCACTCTCAGACAGGCCAGGAGATTCTTAAAGCTTTCAGAATTGCAGATGAATTTGCTTCATTTTATGTCTCACAATGTAATCTATGGATGGACCCAGGAACAGTACAAATATCTAAGTTTGTTAATAATTATTCCCTAGACAAAATTAATTTACTGCACATAACACATGATCAAGCCCTTACACTCATGACATAAATTTCTGCAGAGAAGGTGGAAAAAGGCAATAAGTACCCTTCCTAACCTCAAAAGTCCAGTTCCTGATGGTTTAACTGGAATATATTATCAAACTTTCATAACCATATTTCTACCTCATCTTAATGATTTTTTAAAACATATTGCATCAGCTTCAATTTCCCCAGGAGAGGTTATGCATGCATACATCATCACCTTGCCAAAACAAGCCAAACAATCTACAGTGTGCTAAAACTTCGGCCCAACTTTAGACACCAACATTTGTGTGAAAGCCCTAGCAAACAGACTGGTACCTCTTCTCCCTTTCCTGTATCGTCCAACTATCCAATCAGTCTTTGTGTCTGGGCATCAACCAGCTTGCAGATGTATCCAAAATTCCAAGTCTTTTGCTCTCCCTCAATGCAAAAAGCGTTTGAAAAGGTGCATTGGTCCTGCATGTTTGGACTCCTCACACCCTTCATCACAGCCATTTTAGCCATGTACAGTCACTAATCCCTCATCATCTCTTTTGCATTCAGGCTTCCTTTCCTGTACCTTTCACATATTTTATGGATCTCAACACGGATGCTCTTTATCTCCCGTTTGATAAAACCTCGCATTGGTCACTTCTATTAGAGAAAACCTTAAAATTCATGAATACTCTATATCCCTCACCCTCTTAATTCCCTCATGTGCACTAACTGAATGAACTGGAAACCCCAAGAAAGTAATCAACCACAAATACACATCACCTCTTACCCTGCACCCTTAGTATGTTTCCCTGTGTGACCACAATAACAAGGAAAGTGGACCTCCATTCAGTCATATAACTAAAAATCTGACTGGCATACATTGGAAGGCACTATTATGTGAGAGCATCACATTAAGGATACTACAGAAGAACAAAAAAAAAAGGCACATAAAAGAAAGGACCATCCATGTGCTACCAGAGCCAACGCTGCTCATTCAGCAATATATTAAGAAAGAATACTGGGCATAAATTAATTGAAGGCAGTTTTATTGTAATGCAAAAAGTAACGTTCAGCTTGAGAAGGGCTTTAGCTGAAAGGTTACTTTTTAGCATCATATCCAGGTATCCAAAAGACGCTCAGAATCCAGGCTCATATTGTACTTTGAACTAAATCAAAGATCCAAGACAACTGACCTATTCTCGTCATACATAGTATCCTCTATATATCTGAAAACAGTGTTACATGTCTATGATATACTATTTAAATTTAAATAATATTTTGTTTAAAATATGCATACCATTTAAGTCTGTTAAAATTGTATACAGAAAAATCCTTGCAAAACCAAGCCTCCATTTAAAACTAAAATATTTGCTAATAGATCTGGAGTCTGCGACTTATTTGATCCAGGCTCTTTTCTTTTTTATGTTTGTGAGTACATCAGCTACCTCAATTTGGGGTGATACACGTGGTTATTACACAAAAAATTATGTTATTTGTGTTCCCTGTAGGTCTGGCTGTATTCCTATTATACATATGTAAAAATATGCCTATGTCTATTAAAATCTGCACTTTTTGTAAAATAAAAAAAGATGTACACTCTTTACACATAAAGCAGTTCAGCAAGTTGAAGTGCTTTAGGGATCTGTGACGTAAGACATGTTGTAAAATCTTTCAAGGCTGATATCAGAAAGGCTGTATGAGAATCAGTAACTAAACCGTCATGTCAAGAATTCTCTTTAAAAAAACAAGCACATCTATCATCTCCCCCATAGATATCCTTCCCACTAACAAATTCCCTGGACCTGACAGCCTAACAAATTTGGAGAGAAGAAAACGGAGCCATGTTTATAGCCCCGGTCACAAATTAGGCTTATTTGCAGACTACATCCTATTAACTATTACACGACCGCTTACCTCACTCTCCACGCTTACTAGTACTCTGCAGGAGTACAGTAAATACTCTCATTACAAACTGAACATGGCCAAGACACAAGCTATGCCCATTCGCCTAGAGAAGCAGGTGATTTAAAAAAGGTTTCAGTATGACTGGGGGAAGACTATATTGTGACTATATTGAGACTATATAGTGTATCTAGGGGCAAGGCTAACTAAAAACCTAAACAATATTTTTAGAACAAACTACATTAGACTGGCCAAAGACATCCAATCACATATAGGCAAGTGGAAAGATACATTTTTTAATCTGGCTAGGCCGAAAAGTGGCAATCAAGATGATGATACTCCCAAAACTCCAATTCTTGTTCCGCTCCTTACAAATTAAACTCCCCATAACATTCCTACCAATCCTACAACTTAACATATACCGATTCATAGGTACAAAGCCTGCATTCCTAAAAGCACCGCTGCCAGGAAGATTCTAGATGGTGGTCTGGGCAGCCCTGATCTGCAACTATGCTATTATGCTCAATTGCTTAATCATGCAATAGCAGCTCATGATTTCACTCTACCACCCCAATGGGTCAATATTGAGTCATACTGGACCATTGCCTAGGTTGTCCAATCTCTACTGTGGTTGCCTACACCCTTGAGGCCAACTACCCTAGACATGCTACCCATCACAAAAATTATACTTAAAATCTGGGATAAACACAAATTAAAATTCTATACATGGAGTCCAGTATCTTTAGATACCCCCTCACATGTTTTTATTAAAATTCTTTATTTTGTAAGGACAGCTGGTCATATAGTATAACATTACATGTAGGGCAACACTCGATTGGTACAGCATAATTGTTGGTACAAGTTGTATCTAAGGCATTGGGGTGTTGGAAAGAGTGGAGGGGCAGAAATTGTGCCCTAGAGCTCTCCTTTGATTGCCACTGTTCAATACAGTTTATTTTATATTTCAAACATAACATTAACATTAGAAGAGTAGGAGCCAGCGCTCAACCTGATCAGTCGCATACCCACGGCTCTCCAACGATGTGAACCCTTAAAGACCCAAATTCTGCCCAAAACGGCTGTTAACCACACAGCAAGAAGCCCGGCGACACCCCAACACTGATGGGGAAAAAAAAAACTAAAAAGCTGCGTCGGCCCCGGCAATCTGCTGATATAGGTGATCTATTGAGGAAACCGCATGGCGCAGCAGGACCTAAGATGGCGGCCAACATCGAGGACTACTCCGACAGTTCAGACGACATCCCCCTGCACTGGCCGGAGAATCTGGGATATCGAGGGCCGGCTAAGCCTGTGCAACCGACAGCGGGTAACCTGGTCACCACAGAGATACGATGGTAAAGGTAAGGGACAATGTCAGAGAGTTTACCGCTCGCCTCACCACGGTGGAGCAGCTTACCCAAGCTCAAGTGACAGACCTCCAGACGCAGGTGAGAGAACTTACCACGGCTCACGCTACACTGTCCCACCAACTAGCAGCCATGGAGGATAAACGCAGAAGGAAGAACATTAAAATCCGAGGCCCCTCTGACACTGTGACCACAGCTGAGCTGCCCCATCTCCTCCGCAGGCTCTTTGCAACTAAGCTGCCCGTCAGGCAAGCAAAGGGGATACAGCTAGATGGCATGTTTCGCCTACCCAAACCACCACAACTCACAGGCTCCGCAACAGGCGACCTCCTGCCCAAAATGGGCAAGACAAAGCAGAACTCATGAGTGCCATCAAGGGGAAGAATCCCTTCAGCTTTGAGGGCGTGGACTTAAAATTTTTCACAGGCCTGTCTCACACTACCCTGCAATGACAAAAATCTCTTCGACCATTGACAACATCACTTGCGGCCAGAGGGGTGACATATCGCTGGGGAGCGGCCCCGTGCGCATCAGGGCACGGAACACCGAGTAATGGACATAGCAGAGATGGACACTGTAATGGCGAAACTGGGCCTTACAACCCCCCCGACTAAAACAGCTTAGGACCCAACCAATATTGTCCCATATCTCAGGGGTGCATCTGGGAAGAAAACCACATGAACCACCACCTTTTTTTATGTTTTTGTTCTCTTTTCTGTTCTTGTTTGGAGGGCCCACGGTCATCCATTATAGACACCGGGAAAAACCCGGGAAGTTGGCTCCACTATACCAATTAACCCCCCCAGCTCCAAGCTGCTCATAGCATATTTTAGCTTAATGATGAGGAGCTGTTTTACACGCTGCATAGGCACCACATCAGTACCCTCTGTTCCTTTTTGAAAGCCTACATTAAATTAGGCCATATCTTAGCCCCTACTACATACACTGCTTACCGCCCCCCAGACGGCTAATTACTGCTGTTTCCCTGCACCCCTATAGCACAGGTATACCGGCCTTCCCCTAAGGGAGCAGGTCTTGTAAAAGCTGCTACTAATAGCATAATACTAACTCACACTAGACCTTCTCATACATGCCTATAGTATCCCTCACTGTACCTGTGCCCTCGATAACACCACTGTCTATATGGAAACAAATCTCTTTATAATTTAACAAGCAGATGTTTTATTCTATGTTCAATACTTACCATTTAAAAATGTGCAGTATTTATAAATGCCATACTGATGTTATATAATGTTACAGTTGGGCTTGTTATGGCTGTCGTGGCTAATCAAGCAAGATGTAAAGCTCGCAAAACAAAAATAAAGAATATAAAAAATAAAATTAAAAAAAAAGAAGAGGAGAGAGAATTGAAGAGAAGAAAGAAAAGTAAAGCTGTTGCGCTAGAAAGACAGGTGTTGGCACCTTTGAGTATGATGGACCCCGTATAGGTCGTAGACCTGTGAATATTTTTTCCCCTGATTGGTGGGTGAGCCCCTGGAAGGGAAGTCCAGGGGCCCAAGGCTGTTCTATAGAGAGTATCCCGACCTGTCCTCAGCTTCATCGGCTTCCCCGCCGAGTGCCCCCAAAGAGGCACCCCAGCGGCGGACCACCGGTCCCCTCATCTCTACCGATACCCTTGCCCCTGTTCTCTCCTGTGGTGTGCGACTTCACATGTTTTAAATGTCTCATTCCCTCATTTGACAGTAGAGGTTGGGGGGGGAGGGGAACTGACACATTTGTATTAAGTTTGGACGGGTAATGACTTAGTACCCTTCTCACAATTGCAAACTGCTGACGTGCTCCACCCTCTTTATTCTTAGCTTACCTCTAGATGCACACTCTTCTGCAAGGGATTCAGCAGGCATATTTGCCTTCTTTGCTTATCAAGACCTCAAAGTTGTCCATTATAGAAAATATGTGTGTGAATCTGACCCCCAAAAAGAGGGGAATATCTGTTTGCTATGACACACTATTATTTGATATGAAGTCTCCATTATCAAAACACACTAAAGAGTGGGAAAGGGACCTAGGCCTTGTCATCATTTGAAAACAATGGGAAAAGCATTCATAATACATAGGAAATACACCTGCTGCATATATCACCTAGAGCTCATTAGGAAGATCTCACCTAGGTGTTACTTGGTACCTGTTAGACAGGCCCACATGTTCAGTCACTACTCACATAAATGCTGGAGATGCGGTACCAAAAAGGGCACTATGGTACACATTTGGTGTGAGTGTTCAGTGATTAGGCTATTTTGGATCATAGTGGCTGACATCATCTCCAAGAATATTGTCTGAATTCTTCCTACTGTTCAGTGGGACACTCTTGCCAAACAACAGAGCCTGGTAGTTTTCCACATCCTCATGGCAGCAAACCTATCATCAGCCAGGAATGGAAATCTACTACTGTTCCAAAGAGGGAAGAGGTGATATGACATGTGTCCCTTAACGGCATGCATTAGAAAATAGCTTTTATGAGCTCCAGTAGACATCATAACCTTTGGGGGCCTGGGAAATATGGGAGGATACTTTCGGATCCCACCACACATAGGCCGTAGGAGAGATGGCACCTAGGTCGGCCACTGGGTGAGCAATGACTATGCTCTAGGAGGCATGTATTGCTTGAGGTATGGACCCTTACCGATCTTCTTATTGCATACCATAAGCTAGTGAATAATATAAGGGGTCCCAATACTGAGTTTAAGATGTTACCTAGGTTTAGTCAATGAACCCGCCTAAGGTGACTACTATGGGCTCTTGTACTATGTCCTCTTAAGGTCTGGCCACCTCCACTACGACACCTCCAAGCTTCTCACTGGACTCCGCTCCCAAGATTCTCTTATCTTCAGTCTTTCTTTTCCCAATTTTCAAATTTTCCCACTTTGCTTCTCTCTCATGCTTATTCAAATCTATACTTAACATATGGATTGGTATGTTGGCAACTTACACAAGCTATTAACAGGGCTTGTCCATCATGCTATCGTGGTTTCCTCTAAATATGTGTCAATATGCTTTAACAACAGAATTTGTTATTATCAAAATAAAAGAAATAAAGAATAAAAAAAATAAAAAAATCAGCACATTACCATCCTTTTCAGATAGGCAGTTGGTCCACAGCGACCAGACCTGTTTTGAGGGATTGGGGGGACACATTTATTTATTCTGTTGGAAATGTTGCACATCCAGAGACTGGTCGAGGGCGCTGGTTACAACCCTGGCACACCTGACCTACGTAGCCTGGAGTTCTAGGCTACGTAACGTCAATCATATCAAAAATTACATATATTGTCAGCGCTCACTGCACACTGGTGACAGATAGAACAAGCTTTTCCCTTGCCAGTGTTTCAATGTTTTATAGAATTATTTATTTTATTTTTATTTATAAAATATTTTACCAGGAAAGATACATTGAGATTTCTCTCGTTTTCAAGTATGTCCTGGGTCCACAAAACATTGCATTGATACAATAAAATATAAAAACAATATTAATACACAATATATACAAAATTTAACACAGAACAGGTAGGAAATATATAATCAACCATGACACGTGCATTCTGTTTTGAGGTATGGAGAGAGGGATCTCTTAAAGGACTTTAGGCTTGGGGAAGATTTGAAAGTATGTGGGAGGTCATTCCATAATTGCAGTGCTCTGTAGGAAAAGGAGGATTGGGCTGCTTTCTTTTTGTATTGAGGTAAATAAAGTGCTGTACTAGATCGGAGGTTATAGGAGGTGGGAACAGCCAGGGAGATCATTCTGCACAGGTAGGTTGGGAGCTTCCCAGAAAAGCTCTTAAACACAAGGCTGGAAAGATGAAAGGTGTGTCTGGATTCCAGTGACAGCCAGTTTAGTTCTTTTAGCATGTCACAATGGTGGGTCCTGTAATTACATTGTAGAACAAATCAGCAGTTGTAGTTCAGCAACATGCTCTTTACCTTCAGGTTTCCCATAGCCCTTTAGTGTGTCCCTGAATATAATTATTTTTTAACCAGTAATTCAAGATTATCCATTTTGGGTTCTCAGACTTTGGTTGGCATTAGTGACTTTATGATCTTCTAATTTCCAGATTTTGTCCTGTTCTCTGACTATACTCTTATCACTGCTGTTCCCCATCATTTAGGATGATTAGAAGTAATGTACAAGGAGTCCTCAGGTTCCATCCACTGGTAGTAATTCAAAACCTTTAATAGTTTGACACTTACCTTGCTGTATTGGGTACCTTCTCACGTGAGTAGAGATAGAGTAATTTTTTTTTTTTTTTAACTAAGCAGTTTTCAAGTTCACAGTGGTCATTGGTGTTACAAAGTTCGCAGATTATGCAGTTGTATATGTATACAGAAGAGAAATGTTTCAGTTATGCAGTTACATACATATTCAACACAGTAGTCCACTTGAACAGAGTTTGTTTTTATTTTTTTTCCAACTTGGGATCGGGGGGGGGGGGGGGGGGAAGTAGAATAGAGAGCTGAAGCTGAAGTTATCCAGTAACTATCTTGGTCGATAAGGGGTCCTATCAGAAGCGTGGAAGGGGTGCTTTTGTGCCTCTCTTGGAAGAGGGTCGAGTATCTTGGTGTGACCTTGTTTACCCGGGTGAGCTACCCCCTAGGATAGCTCACATTTGTGTACATTATTATTACATATTTTGTGGTATCTATGATGAACTCGGCTGTCGAGACTTCAAACAGTGTCCTTAGATATGACAGGGGGAGAGGGGGGACTGCAGCCTGCCAAGCCCTACTCCAAAAGATTGCCCTGGTGGAGAGAGCTGTTCTGCTTGCTAATTCATAGAATCGGGTCGCGTCTATAAGCTGTCTACATTGCTGTATGGTTGGCGCCTCCGTTTTTTCCATGATCTGCTGATCAGAGCTAGGGCCGCTATGTTGATCTGGTGTCGGGAGTTTTTGGCAAATTAACACCTGTGCTGTCGTGGATCAGCGCGGTTATCGTTGCCAAGTAAGGAGTATTGGGCATGTCCACCAGATGTGGATCATACATCCGGCTCCAGAGGTGCATCGCCAGCATCTATCAGAGGCGTCGGGGTATATTCGCTTAAGGCGTGTGGGTACTAAGTACCACCTGTATAGGATTTTTCTGGATAATTCAGTATGGTTGGCGCGGAGTGTGAGTTTTTTAAGAGTGAGAAATATCTCCCTCCACGTTGTGGCAGGCATGGTTTGCCCAAAATCTTTTCCCCATGCCATGACAATGGGATACCTGAGTGTGAGGTTATATTGTAATATATTGGCATATAGAGTTGAGAAGGTTTTATGCGCTGGTGTCAATTTGAGAAGAATTCTTTCAAAGCTCGTCAGCCGAAGTTCATTTACATTGTCACTTTTTTCCCTGTGCTGTTTCGTCAACCATGAGTGGATTTGTCTGTGTGAGAAGTGGGCTATGGATGGGAGGCCATACCGGCACTGCATCTCCGGGAATGTTAAAAGGTGGGTGTCCTGGTATAGCTGATGTATGAAGCCGTACCCAGATTTTATAATTGAAGTCTGGAATCATTGAAGTTAGGGCGGATACTGCCATGGCTTTGGAGTGTGGGTTCTGTGAACAGCATATTTGTTTGTTCTGGTCCCAGACGTGGAGTGTCGTGGCTGTGGTTGGCAATGTATTTGCGTTCTTAGGTCTGCAATGTTTAGGTGACCAGATCAGGGACACAAGGGTGTAGTACATAATTTTCTAAAGCCACCCATTGAGGTGGTGAGCTGTGGGTATGGATTGAAGAATAATTAGAAAAGAAACTGGAAGCAAGGGGATGCACTCAATTAGGGGTTAACCCGAGACTACCACAGTAGTGAAAACAAGAAGGGGAAGACAAGGAGTGCCCCTAAATTAAAATATAGCTTTTAATAGTATAGTTAAAAATAGTATATGCTATAAATTTTGAGAGAAAATAGAACAAAGTATATTATTAACAATGACCCCTAAGGGTTAAAATCCTGTAGGGAAAAAAAACAACTCACGCTAGATGTGCCTATATAATCAAAAAGAAGTCCTGTTCAAAAGTTTTCAGGATCCTTCTCCTAATACTATGCAAAAACCAACGGTTTTTACAATGAAATAAAGTATACAGGGTGAGTTGTGTCCTAAAGATACAAAATAACTGTATATGACAATGATTAAGTCACAAAAAGTTATATAGAGGTAGCACAGGGATGCCTGTATCGAAAATAAATGTAACAAAATCTTGCCAGAAACAAAAAAAGGATAGACCTTTAGTTACATTTAACAGTGTATAGTATTCACTGTTCGTGTGCATCCAAACAAACTCAGAAGAAATAAATATATATAAATATATATAACTGAAAGTCTATATCTAGCACTGTCCGGTCCACATAAAAACCCCCCTAATGTTGAGATCGGAGTGGGCTCAGGGATCCCTCTGATAGTGCCAAAATAAATTAATACGTTCTGGTCTGGGCTCGAGCTAGTGTAATGCTCATCTAAGGGTCCCCAAAGAGCCCCCTAGCCCCTTATGGGTATGGATTGGTATCATGCAGTTCAGAATAGCTGCCTGGTAGTACACGCGGACATTTCGTGCATTCATCCCTCCTTCAGCTGTTTTTTGATATAGGATATGTGCTTTCACTCTTGGTATCTTATGTTCCCAGGTAAATTGGTTAAGTAACTGTTGTGCCTCCTTAAGGTATGCGGTCGGGAGGTGGATGGGTAGAGTGCAGAACAAATATTGAAATTCAGGGACTATGATCATTTTAATGGCAGCCAGTCTACCAGTCCATGTTAGATATGTAGATAGAGTAATTTTATACCTCCGCTATCAAGCACACTCATCAAAGATTTAAATATTATAATTTCAAAATAGTTTTCATTGATAAAAATGGCAAGTTTAGGCCTACTTTCTAAACTGGGTCTTCTTTAGAAAGTTAAGACAAGTGTGCACTTCCAACTAGCGACAGAGCATGCTAAGAGTCAAATTATTCTGAAATAGACATGTCAGACAACCGGTCAATGACATCTAATGACTGACACCATAACCACTGTGACAAACGCTCTTTACCATGGATGTTTGCCACAAACTTCTGGAGGAGTGTGGAAGCTGGCCTCCAGCCCACTGACTATGGTCCAGGTCAGAGACCTTGTTCGGGAGATAACCTCCCCAGCTGCCATAAGCAGCTTTCCCTGGGTCCCCCTGGTTCGGCACTTTCCATTCATTCAAATGGAAGCAAACACTAGCTCAATGGCGGCTGTTCGCATGAAGAAACCCACAAATTGTCCTCAGTGGTACATAGCCGCGATCGTTATGGAACTATATACGGCATGAGGACTTTGTGTGTCCCCGGTCACCTCAATGGTACTTAGCCATGAACATAGGTGTGTGCACGGTGGGCACACCCTAATCCCCGCGGCACGCCTATGGAGTGAGACCGGCAGGGGCCTCCCCTCACCGACCCACAAGCAGTGAGGGAGGCAGGAGAGGACCTGGGGAGCTCTTGCCAGCAGCTCCGCCAGGTTCCTCTCGCGAGATCTGAGCATTGCCGTGGCAACGCTCAGATATCGCGAGAGTGAACTCTAGCCCTGCAGGCTCGAGTTCACTCACCACTGGACCACCAGGGAAGGATGGCAGCAGGAACAAGAATCCCACCTCCCTACATAAGGTAACAAGGGAGGGGGGATATTACCTGATCTGCCCCCACCTCATCTGGAACACCAGGGAAGGCAGAAAGGATCCCCCCTCCCTACATAAGGTAATAAAGGAGGGGGGATATTAAGTAATGTACCCCCACCTCCACCCACACACACAGATACAGCACACACACAAACAGCACCCTCACACATACACACAGCACACTAACAGGACCCTTACACACACACACACACACACACACACAAACAGGACCCTTACACACACACACAAACAGCACCCTTACACACACACACAAACAGCACCCTTACACACACACACACAAACAGCACCCTCAAACCATCCTCACACAGAACACACACACACAGCAGTGTATTTATGTGTATATATATATATATATAAATATATATACACACACACACATACATATACACGCGGCGTGTTTGTGCTTTAGGGTGCACACCCTAATGCAATAGGCTGCGCACGCCTATGGCCATAAATGTTATGGAACTGTTTTCGGCATGAGATGACTCAACTTGGTCCGGGTTTTTGAACGACTTTGCAACTCACCAGGAAAGCGCTGGACGTCCATAGGAAAGCATTGAGTAATGCTTTCCAATGGGGGTTTGAATGTGGGGGTGCGTGGCTCTTGCGGCGCATGCACATTCAGAGCTGAAGTCGGCAGAGGGAGGAGAGTTCCCCACCGGAGAAAGGTAAGTGGCTTAAGGGGTTTTAACTCATTCAGCACAGTGGGAGAGGGGCTTTGAGGGTGGTGGGGACCTAATGACCCTATAGTGCCAGGAAAACAAGTTTGTTTTCATGGCACTATAGTGCTCCTTTAAGGTTTCCTCTATTTCAGGTAGGTCTTGCTTTCCGATTTATATTTATGGGGGAGGAAATGGAGATCAAGTAGCAGAGGGCATACTACTGTGATGTCACAGCATCCCCTTACACCACCTGCTGTATTGTGGAAGCTGTAGTCTCCGATCATGCACTATTGAGCCATTAACTTCACAGAGTACTGTAGCACTGGGGAGGCATTATAATCAGAAGTCACCTCTAAAATATCAAAGTTGTTCTATTTGATGTTTAAAATATTGATTTCTTAATTTTTGGGCCACAAAAATAGGGTTCATCTTATACATGGGTGCATCTTATACATGGAAAAATATGGTATAGATTACCCTTGTCAGTGAGATGCCATGGTCTAATGTGTTGCTCATGATTTCCTTGCCATATATCACTATGTTCCTTTGCAGCCTTAGTTTATGTGGGTCTAAAGTAACTAACAATGCTTAGAAAGAAAAGATAAAATATTTGTTTAAGCAAATCTTGACAAAGAGAGAAAAATACATATCTGAATACCTAATTGTTAAGCATTTTTTTCTAAGAGGTAACAGCATATGGGTGTTGAGTTTACACACAAGTTTAATGAGTGTAATGTATCCTGCATTTTTACACAGAAGCTACTGTATTTCCTGTTTTGGTTGCAGTTTGTATTGGGAAACAGACATTGCAAGTAGTGTAGTTTATAGTTTTTATATTTTTATCATCTCCCTTTACAGTAGTTTGCAGTCATTTGGGAAAAGGGTCATGCCTTGTGGGTTTGAGTGCATTTTACTAATCCATGTATCAGAAAATGATCATCCACTCCACTAACAAAGAGGTTATTGGAGAGCACGTGGCTTGGCCGATGGAATAATAAGGTTTGCTTGTGGGGAAAATGCTCAGATATATAAATATAACTTGAAATGCATTTCAATATTTTGTGTTGAAGTTGACATTTAGAGAACCATAAGGATTATGGAGGACCAGGGGAGCTCTAGTTAATTAAAGGACCACTATAGTGCCAGGAAAACATACTCGTTTTCCTGGCACTATAGGGTCTCTAGGTACCCCCACCCTTAGGGTCCCCCTCCTGCCGGGCTCTAGGGTGAGGAAGGGGTTAAACACTTACCTTTTCTCCGCCTCCTTTCCAGTTATCGGTTGAATGCACATGCGCGTCATGAGCCGCCACGCGCGCGCATTCAGCCAGTCGATAGGAAAGCATTCTCAATGCTTTCCTATGGACGCTGGCGCCTTCTCACTGTGAAAATCACAGTGAGAAGCGCGGAAGTGCCTCTAACGGCTGTCAATGAGACAGCCACTAGAAGCTGGATTAACCCATTTCTCTGAAACTGCTATGTTTACAGCAGAAAGTGTTAACCCAAGATGGACCTGGCACCCAGACCACTTCATTGAGCTGAAGTGGTCTGGGTGCCTAAGTATATGCGCACTTCTTCACTATCCCTGCTTTAGAGTAGAACATGGAAAATAATTTGGCTACCATGTAGCATTCTTTATAATAAATTTCCAAATATAAGTCCAGAAATGCAAGGATTATACATTAATAACATATTCTATAACAATATAAACGGTGCTACATTTGTTTTTTACCTTCTGAACTTCTAGACAAACTTCCAATCATTTCCAAAATTATACGTTTATAAATAAATCAAAACTAAAAGCCATGTCAGGTACTTCTATAAAAAAACAAACAAACAAAAAACCTGGTGTGTGTGAGTGTTAAAAGCACAAGGATTCAATGAGTCTTTTATAAGACCTATTCCATGTAGCTTTTCTGATCATTATTCTGGCACATATAATGTCACTAATTCCCACCATGAGATAGTTTTTGTATGTCTGTTTTTGGAGTACTGTGTTATGCACAATTAGGCAATATTGTAGTTGCGTATACTAGACAAACAGATGGACCAAGAGGTGTCATCGAAGCTTGGGAAATATTCTGATAAAGAGAATCATGCTAATAAAAGTAAAGCAGACAAAAATAAGCATGATCCAGAGAAGCCAGTTAACGGATTTCTTGGCATGCTGTTCTAGTCGGTCTGATTCAGTTTTCAGCTTTTCAAAGTTTTGGTCAGCAAGCTTCATTGACTGGGACAGTGTCTGGATGGAAAGAGAAAAGGTGAAACAAACAAATAAAACAAAAATCAAGAGAGTAAAGGGCAAAGTAGGATATGCAAGAGAGTCAAGTGAACCTCCGGGATTTAGTACCTGGTTGTCCTGCTTTATTACACTTTGTGCTGCCAGCGTATTATTTTTAAGGTTCTGGGTCAGTCGTAGCATCTCTTCAGCCAGTTTCTCCTGCATATTGTGATGGTGTTTAAGTACAGCATCAAGTTCTGCTGCCGACTGCTTGTCATCAGATGTAGAACCCCTGTGAAACAGACAGTGTTAGCTTTGCAGGATATTCTAAGAAGTTATTGGAACTTCAAGGATCTAAGTGTAATGGTAGACAGTGGCATATTTAAGGCTTTGGTACCCAATGGTATCTACAGTAATAAAAGTAACACATTAATTAAGTTCAATTAAGCAAGAGTTGTGGCTCTTAGTTTACACAAGGGACTGGATTATTAAGTTAAATAATATAAAAAACAAAAAAACGAAAGGCATCTATTAGCTATTCCATAACTGCATGTTTTGCTATAATTTTTTATGCTTCATTTGTGCTCAAGACTCAATCTGATGCCTTTAACATTAAGGTACAGTGAACATTTGCCTCAGTCTAGCACAAGATGGGACAAAAGTTCATATACACAATGTTTCCTGATTTGATTATGGCAGCCCACAGTTCATGTCTCAAATATGCCTACATTTAATCCCATACAGTTCATAATACTCAGTTTAGGCTTCTCAGAAAACCCACCCACCATCATACATTCAATTGACTCTCATAATAATTTAGGATAAAATGTCAGCTGCACAACTCAAAGTGTACCCCAATTACCAGATTCTCTCTATCAAGAAGTACCTATCTCAGCCCCTAAACTGTGTAAACAGTATTTGACTGTTCACTTTACTTATAACTCTGAACTTTGCTTTTTGCAAAATTCTGAAAGTTTTAATGTCACCGCTTGCACTGGTTTATAGTCCCTTAACCAAAAAAAAAAAAAAACAATATCCACTCTCTCAGTTTAAATATTTCAACTTCCAAATGAATTTCTTTCATTATAGAAACTTCAAGATCCCACTTAAAATATTATCCAACTGCCTGTCTAGCCCTGATTCCAGCTTTATTCTAAGTTTCAGTAACTAAAATGCACACCTGTACATTTTAGTTTCTGAAAATTATAACAGTATAGTTAAACTGGAAGGTGTACCAACTGCCCTCTTGTTCCTTTTACGTTACTACACACCACTTCCTCTAGACGTTCTAGTTCTTTTGAGCAGGTCCACCTCTAGCTTGGTTGCTACATCTAAGTGCTGCTTCTAAGTATGTGGTTGGAGATATTCTGGAGAGTTTTACAGAATCTTCAACTAAGATTTTGCTAAGAGTTTTCTTTTTTACTGTTACAGGTAAGATTCATCTATAGGAAAAGGTTACTGATTGCACAAGGTTTGATTTCTTGTTGGTAATCGGTATGCCATTTGATTTGATTAGCTAGGTGTTTGCTATTGATTGTTGGTTAATTAGCTATTTGCAAATAAGCAAAGGCCTACCCTGGTGTTAAACATTCCAAGTGGGTGGTGCTTTTAGGAGTTATATAAGGGTTGTGATGATACATCAATCCAATTGCCCCCCCAAAAAAGGGCAGATGGTGCCTGTAGCAAGTGTGTTAAAAAATGATAAGCTTAGAGTCATGTCTACAAATGCTCGCAGTTTAGGGAATAAAATCCATTAACTTGTGGCAATAATGGCTACTGATAATGTAGATTTGGTCACTGTTACAGAGACATGGTATAATGAGAAAAATGACTGGGACATAGCAATACCAGGGTATGCTTTATATAGAAAAGACAGGGAAGGCAAGAAAGGGGAGGAGTGGCCTTGTATGTGAAGGATAGCATAAAATCTAGCCTAATAAAAGTTAGTGAGGCGAACATAGAGTCCGTTTGGGTTACATTAGAATTTGGTAATCACACAGTAACTTGAGAAAGGTGTGATTTATAGGCCCCCAGGACAAATAGAAGTTAGATGAAATAGCTAAAATGACAATGAAGGGGGACGTTATCATCATGGGTGACTTTAATCTTCCTGTTGTGAACTGGAAAACCAAAATAGCTGGTATCGTCTTTAAAACAAGTCGTAGATTTAGTGTTAACAAATTGAGATTTGGTATCAGATATTACTGAGAGTGAAAGTTTAGGATCCAGTGATCATCAGTCAGTGTGGTTTAATATAAGAACCGTGACTGAGTCACACCACACAAAAACAAAACGTTTAGACTTAAGTAAAACAGACTTTTATAAAATTAGAATATGTATAAATGAGTCATTATCAGACTGGAGCAGTTTAAATGGAGTCCAAGAGAAATGGGATTATTTAAAAGTTGCACTGCTGAAGGCAACAGAAAATTGCATTAGGCTTGTCAGTAAAAGCA